TCTTTCCCGGTATTCGAGACATCTCCAACGTCAAGGACTACGAAATCGACCGGAACGACAATCGGACCAACCTTGACCAACACATCTTCGATTATACCTTTTGGCTCCTGCAAGGTGCGGTCCGTCAATTGGAGGCTTATCCGAGTCGGATTAAGCCCTTGCAAACCTAATTGCTTGTAGATCGAGTAGGGCATGAGGTTTATACCGGCTCCTAAGTCTAGCATCTCGGTTGTAGTCTTCCCATTCCCGAATGTAATCTTCATGACAAAGGCTTCCGGGTCACATTCTTTCCGAGGTATGGTAGTCGAGGCTACCTCGGAAATCATCACCTTCTCATTATCCACGAACCTCCTCTTTTTCGAAGCTAAGTCCTTGAAAAATTGAACATATGCCGGCACGTTTTTGATAACGTCTAGAAGTGGAGATTCACGTTTACCTTCGAGAGCATGTCGAAAAGATCTTTGAATTGATCCTTCTTGGTATCTTGCAAACGGCTCGGGAAAGGAACCGGTGGTCGGTAGGGTGTATTCGCTTTGTGCAAGGCCTCACGGGTACCTTTTTTCGAACTCTCCTTCTCAATTTTCTCATCAACTACGGCTTTCCCTTTCACCACATCAACCTTATCACCCGGCTCATCATCATCCCCATCAACAACAACTTCAATAACTTTATCTTTTTCGGGCATCTCCACACGATTATCAATCATCTTACCGTTCCTAAAGACCGTGATGGCATTCAAGTGCTCGGGTTGGCTCGGGAGCTTGTCTTTCATTTTGCTCCTTTGGATTTCCCCGATGGAACTCCCGAGTTGCCCTATTTGAGTCTCGAGGCATTTAAGAGAGGCTTGAATCGATGGCAATCCGTTGATGGTGTCGTGCAATGTGAAGACGGTGGAGGCCAATGATTGAAGGCACTTCTCTAAGCTTTCGATCCGAGTCTCCGAGGATTCTCCGTTAGCATTCCTCTCGGGATCGGGTGGAGGTGGCAAAGGTTGCCTCGGGATGAAACCTCCACGCCCTTGTGGATATCCTTGAAACTCGGGCCTCGGTTGATAGCCTTGGAATTCGAGTCTCGCTTGGAACGGTGGTCGGTT